TCTGTGAACCATGGTGGAGGTAATGTCATGGCTTGGGTGTGCTTGGCTGCTTCTGGAACAGGCTCATTAATATTTATTGATGATGTAACTGATGATAGTAGCAGCAGAATGAATTCAGAAGTGTACAGAAACATTTTGTCTGCCACTTTACGGAAAAATGCAATGAAACTAATCGGGAGGAAGTTTATCATGCAGCAGGACAGTGACCCAAAGCACACTGCCAACAAAACAAATGACTTCATCAGGGGAAAAAAGTGGAAGGTCTTAGGCTGGCCAAGTCAATCACCTGACCTTAACCCAATAGAGCATGCATTTCAGCTCCTTAAGAGGAGACTGAAGGGAGAAACACCCCAAAACAAACAAGAACTGAAAGAAGTTGCGGTAAAAGCCTGGAATAGCATCACAAATGAAGAATGCAACAGTTTGGTGATGTCGATGGGTTGCAGGCTTGAGGCAGTTATTGCAAGCAAGGGTTATGCCACCAAATATTAAATGTTATTTACTTTATTTGATTATTATTTGTTCCATACTCACCTAAGAATGGTGTGGTCTAATACAAACGGTTGTAAGAATCCATATAAGTTAATTTTGCAGTGTGACGCTCTTTTAAGTGATGTTGTAACTAATGCTTTATTTCCAGCTCCTTCTGACTTCTTATACTTAGAAATGCTATATAACCAAAATGTTATCCTGTGTTAAATAATTAATTTCCCCAGCTCCTGAGCAAATGATTGTTTAAAGAAATAATCATTTGCTATCTTCTTGCGTCTTCTGCTGTTTAATCTTACCGTTTTATTGTTCATAATATGATGCCATGTTTGTATAACTTGCTTATATATATTTAAGTAAGAATGTTTAACAGCCAATATTATCTTGGGGCGGCTGTGGCTCAGGAGGTAGAGTGGGTTGGCTGTTAATGAGAAGGTCGCTGTTCAATCCCGGTTCCCCCAGGCTGCATGTCGAAGTGTCCTTGGGCAAGATACTGAACCCCGAATTGCCCCTGGCGGCTGTTCTGCCAGTGTATGAATGTTACTTTCTGTTTGAGCACTTAGGCTCAGTGTATGGGTGAATGCAGATGTAGTGTAAAAGCGCTTTGAGTGGTCAAAAAAGACTAGAAAGGCGCTATACAAATACAGAGCATTTACATTTTACATCTTTAAGTATAGTTAAGTTCCTTTCATCTGATGTGATTCCTATGAAATGCTAACCATTTTAATGTTTAACTACTGACAATAACTTAATAGTTTCCTTCTTATCAAATGCTTAAAACCAAGAAAGGTATAAGCGTTTGACCGCGACCTCGGCTTTTCCCTCATTTCCAGCAACTTACTTGCTTTATATTTTCCTTTGTTTTGTTTGTTAAGTTATCAGACCGTTTCAGTCACGCAACTTTGAATTCAAAGCTTTATCCCGTCGAGTTAACTTATGTAGTGGATCAGACAGTGTGGATTTGCTCATTTTATATCAAATAAATTTGGAGATCCCAAATTCTTTTTCTCTCCCTGAGAGAAAGAGGAGGGGGTTGAGATATCAACCCTCAACAGACAGCTGAAGTAACCCCAAAGGAGAGGGTGAAAGGTTTGCTTTCCCTAAGTGCTGTTTTGGGCAGTTCGATCATAAAACTTGCCACCTTTGGTGAAGCCGAGATAAGATTCGGTTCCACACATGTAACCATGGCAACTGATCTTCCTCTTTGTTTAATTACCTCACATCAAAGGATATTCTCATCTTCACACCCAGATGTGAATTGGTGAGAAACTCCAGACTCCGGAGAAAGGACACAGTCCACATTCCTTTTTGTGGACAAAGGAATACTGTCCCCTCATAACTTGCATTACCTTGTTTAATTAAATAATCTTTGTTACTGTGACTAAACAGGTCTCTCCACTCCATTAGAGTAGTTATATTACCGTGTTGTTGTTACTGGAAAGAAGAATCCATATAAGTTAATTTTGCAGTGTGACGCTCTTTTAAGTGATGTTGTAACTAATGCTTTATTTCCAGCTCCTTCTGACTTCTTATACTTAGAAATGCTATATAACCAAAATGTTATCCTGTGTTAAATAATTAATTTCCCCAGCTCCTGAGCAAATGATTGTTTAAAGAAATAATCATTTGCTATCTTCTTGCGTCTTCTGCTGTTTAATCTTACCGTTTTATTGTTCATAATATGATGCCATGTTTGTATAACTTGCTTATATATATTTAAGTAAGAATGTTTAACAGCCAATATTATCTTGGGGCGGCTGTGGCTCAGGAGGTAGAGTGGGTTGGCTGTTAATGAGAAGGTCGCTGTTCAATCCCGGTTCCCCCAGGCTGCATGTCGAAGTGTCCTTGGGCAAGATACTGAACCCCGAATTGCCCCTGGCGGCTGTTCTGCCAGTGTATGAATGTTACTTTCTGTTTGAGCACTTAGGCTCAGTGTATGGGTGAATGCAGATGTAGTGTAAAAGCGCTTTGAGTGGTCAAAAAAGACTAGAAAGGCGCTATACAAATACAGAGCATTTACATTTTACATCTTTAAGTATAGTTAAGTTCCTTTCATCTGATGTGATTCCTATGAAATGCTAACCATTTTAATGTTTAACTACTGACAATAACTTAATAGTTTCCTTCTTATCAAATGCTTAAAACCAAGAAAGGTATAAGCGTTTGACCGCGACCTCGGCTTTTCCCTCATTTCCAGCAACTTACTTGCTTTATATTTTCCTTTGTTTTGTTTGTTAAGTTATCAGACCGTTTCAGTCACGCAACTTTGAATTCAAAGCTTTATCCCGTCGAGTTAACTTATGTAGTGGATCAGACAGTGTGGATTTGCTCATTTTATATCAAATAAATTTGGAGATCCCAAATTCTTTTTCTCTCCCTGAGAGAAAGAGGAGGGGGGTTGAGATATCAACCCTCAACAGACAGCTGAAGTAACCCCAAAGGAGAGGGTGAAAGGTTTGCTTTCCCTAAGTGCTGTTTTGGGCAGTTCGATCATAAAACTTGCCACCTTTGGTGAAGCCGAGATAAGATTCGGTTCCACACATGTAACCATGGCAACTGATCTTCCTCTTTGTTTAATTACCTCACATCAAAGGATATTCTCATCTTCACACCCAGATGTGAATTGGTGAGAAACTCCAGACTCCGGAGAAAGGACACAGTCCACATTCCTTTTTGTGGACAAAGGAATACTGTCCCCTCATAACTTGCATTACCTTGTTTAATTAAATAATCTTTGTTACTGTGACTAAACAGGTCTCTCCACTCCATTAGAGTAGTTATATTACCGTGTTGTTGTTACTGGAAAGAAGAATCCATATAAGTTAATTTTGCAGTGTGACGCTCTTTTAAGTGATGTTGTAACTAATGCTTTATTTCCAGCTCCTTCTGACTTCTTATACTTAGAAATGCTATATAACCAAAATGTTATCCTGTGTTAAATAATTAATTTCCCCAGCTCCTGAGCAAATGATTGTTTAAAGAAATAATCATTTGCTATCTTCTTGCGTCTTCTGCTGTTTAATCTTACCGTTTTATTGTTCATAATATGATGCCATGTTTGTATAACTTGCTTATATATATTTAAGTAAGAATGTTTAACAGCCAATATTATCTTGGGGCGGCTGTGGCTCAGGAGGTAGAGTGGGTTGGCTGTTAATGAGAAGGTCGCTGTTCAATCCCGGTTCCCCCAGGCTGCATGTCGAAGTGTCCTTGGGCAAGATACTGAACCCCGAATTGCCCCTGGCGGCTGTTCTGCCAGTGTATGAATGTTACTTTCTGTTTGAGCACTTAGGCTCAGTGTATGGGTGAATGCAGATGTAGTGTAAAAGCGCTTTGAGTGGTCAAAAAAGACTAGAAAGGCGCTATACAAATACAGAGCATTTACATTTTACATCTTTAAGTATAGTTAAGTTCCTTTCATCTGATGTGATTCCTATGAAATGCTAACCATTTTAATGTTTAACTACTGACAATAACTTAATAGTTTCCTTCTTATCAAATGCTTAAAACCAAGAAAGGTATAAGCGTTTGACCTCGACCTCGGCTTTTCCCTCATTTCCAGCAACTTACTTGCTTTATATTTTCCTTTGTTTTGTTTGTTAAGTTATCAGACCGTTTCAGTCACGCAACTTTGAATTCAAAGCTTTATCCCGTCGAGTTAACTTATACTGCTCCCACCAAAGTTCGGACCCAGCCATGTGGGCCCGTCTTGCCAGCAGTAACCCAAAGGAAATCAGAACAGAGCCTAACCGCGAGGCCGAGGACAGTCGCCACTGGAGTGTTTTCTTCATTCAGACACAGAGAACCCCCAGAAAAATAGCATAAAGGCAGACACCACCCTAGCATAAAGCCAGGAATCTGCCAGCTAGCGTGGGGACCCGTGCAACCGGCCTAAGGAAGGCCAATTAATAATCTCTGAATATTAATAGTCATAATTTGTATTACAAAAGGAGGTATGCTACACAGTCCTGAGTTGTTTAACACATCTTGATGTGAATACCAGGAAATAAAAGCTGAAATTCTGAACTCTTGTCTCATACTCATCTTTTAATCTTAAACCCAAATGTCTTCAGTGAACAACAAAAACAAAGGAATGTGCCTTACCGTTCCAATACTTTTGGAGGGAACTGTAACTCAGATCTTCACAAATCACGAGGGCACCATTTTTTTCATTCAAAATGACTTAACAATTTAACAGCTACGATTACAACTCTGGAAATATTAAAAATAATATACCTTTGCCTTAACCGTACAACATTTTTCTCAAAATAAACAGTCCCTTTAGTACCCGTGGTTGTTTTGAGTCATTGTTCTATTAAAGTGGATGTGCTGCACAGCAAACAGCAGGACCGCTTTATGGCACTTGGATTTACAGGATTGTTGCTTTGATGTGAAAAAGTTTTACCATCTTCTTGCATTGCGCTTAAAGTATAAAATGTAGCGCATCATTGCATAATTTTTCCCTTCTCATGATCATTTCATGGTTTCAGTTTTCATTAAAGTAGTCTTACCTGGCTCCACTGACATCTACTCCCACCATCAGCTGCCCGTTCAGTGAAAGCAGTTCGTCTCTCAGTTTGATCCCCCTACAGCGGGCTGCTGGACTCCTCTTCCTCACCTCTGTCACCCAGATGCAGCCCACATCCATGATGGGGCCCTGGTCTCTCCTCCTCCTTGGGCCTCCCTTCTTTCTCCCGTCAGGGTCCCCAAAAATAGGGATGTTCCCAAAGCTGAGGCCAAACTCTGCGCTGTCTCCCGCATTTTTACTGAGGAAAACAGCATGAACCTCGACATCTAAACCCTCCCTGCCGGAGGATGGGCTGGCTGATGGAGCTGGGTCACCCTCAATAAAATTGAGCTTAATGTACTCCACCAACTTCTGGATGGCAGCCAGACACAGCGACATGTCCTCCACATTAACACTGTTGACACTGTTGCTACTGCACACACTACTCCCTTCCTCATTCTGGTAGGAGTCTTGATCCACATGCTAGAGGAAATAGAAGAAGAGTGACCAATCTGTGAGTAAAGCTGAAGCATTCAATGAATATCCTTCAACAACTAACCTTTCATTTCCTATTCAGTACAGGTTGTTTCTTTTAACATTATTAAACCTTAAGTTATTTTCCCTTTATATAAAAATCACTAATTTATATTAGAACCCAGCTAATTCTTCGTTGTACAGATCAGCTGATATAAGCTACATGCAGATAAATCGGCAAGTGTTCACAACACTGCAGCACCACAGAGCAAAGCATCGGCTGACAGGAGTCTACGGAGCATTTAGAAACAACAAAGAGTAGCTCCTGGTAGCTCTCACACTTAGTGTTCATGGTGAGTTGGTCATTTGTCACGTCAATTTCATGATTTAAATAATAATAAATATAGCCCCCATCACTTCTCCTCTCGTGAAAACATTTATGACCTGACTTGCTAACACTACCGTTTTTCACTGCCCTTGTAAATAAACGTAAGCTGAACAAGTATCTAACACGGCTTCCAGCCAAAGTTATTTAGCTCCTCTTTCGAATGCGTAACGTTAGTGCAAAAACTCGAAGTTGCAGGTCCTCTGACAGTCATGTAGTATTACATGCATTCAACAGCTGCGTTTCCTCTGTGTCACTGTATCATAGACAACATGTTTTAGAGCCAGGTGCTGGTTAGGAAATGGTTTCTTGTAGCTTTGGTTAGGGTTGTGTGATATGACAATATATATCATTTGACGATAGCAAAACGTCAATCATTTAAAATTATGCTCTATCGTTTATTTCATTGCGTCGCAAATTCAACACTTTACGAGAGGACGGTGCTTTGCACTGTGGTGAAATTAGTTTTTTGTTGGATATTCACCAGACATCTGTTGCCTATTCAACGTAAATCTATTGTGAAGAATATAAACAACTATGTGTTATGCTTAACCATTCTATAGAATTGCATCCTTCAATACTATAGAATGAATAATAGGCTAAATAAAAACTGAAAAAAAAAATACACAAATATATTTACTGACCAAACATAAAAATGGTGATAAATTAATTTAGAAATGTTTGTAGATTAGGTTATTTATGTATGGTTTCATTGTTTGGATGGTATTACTGAAATCACTGACAAATATTTTTGCAAAAATCTGTGTTCACACCACCCTATTACAGTTACTACCACTGCTCTGCCATTGTTGCTGCAGCGGTCTGTGTGACAGTGGGAGCAGAGGGCTCTGTGAGCGGGCGGCTGGCCGGCCCTCTGGGAGCTCCTCCCGCGGGTTGCCGCAGGCTTACCCGCTGCCACTTGCGGTACTATGCAGTGGGAAAGGGACTAAACAGTTACACAGTGCTGCACGAGTAGTGTAATTCTGACAAGAAAACATAAAAGGAGGTAGTCCTAACATGCCTAGTAGGTCTAATACTTTCCCATACTACACACAAGGCCTGCTACTTCTGGTCCACTGATGTTCATGATGTTCATGGAAAATCCTTTGCAAAAGTCTTTCCAATCGAATCATATCAAAGCATTTGTTTTAGCTTAGTTCATAAGTTATGGACATGTTTATTTAAAGGAGATCTATTGTGCTTTTCCTTATTTTATGACTTACCTACAATGTTACAATGTTGGATGTTCATGTTTAACATGGTAAAAGCTTCAAATAATAAGGGGGGGCTTAAAGAGACAGGAGCATCTACAGCTTGTTTCAGACAGAGGCTGAAATGAAGGCCTTCATGAAGAGTCAGTAGAACTTTAAATCATGCAACGCTGCCAATTCAGCAGTTACAGAACTACAATATAGGACTGGAAAAGCAGTTTAATAGGTCTCATTTGATAAGTTAATAAAATACAGTTCACATCCTATTGTGGTCTATCATTTTTGTCATTGTTGGCCTATGTTTATTATTGTCCATTGGTATCAATCTTAATACTTTCCTGAAAACATGTTTTAAGTTATGATATACCGCCCCTGGCACACAATCGGTATAGGTAATAGGTGTGTGGCCCCCACTGCGGCAGGCGTTCCTTATTTTTCTGTATTGAAGGTGGGAAGCCTAGATGTATCGCTGTCTGGAGCTTCTGTGCTCATGTTTACTTTGCAGCAGCAAGTAGCGACAGCTTGCTAACCCACAACCTAGCTAACGTTAGTTACATTACTTGCTGGGTTGTTGTTCATTCTATGTTATGGTAACGTTATTTGTCCTGGTGTTAGATTTCGCCAGAATAGCTTATCTTACCTTTATGATGATTATTATTATGATCATAATATTTCATTGAATTTACAAAAAATGTTCTATATCGGGATACATATCGTTATTGGGATATGAAATTACCTATATAGGGATATAAATTTTTAGTCATATCGCACAGCCCTAGTGCTGGTAAAGGGATAAACTAGATGTGAATATGATACATAGTAGAAAGTAGTCATTGTGGCAGATTATATGTAAGGTAGTAACTATTGCAGGACTCTATATATATATATATATATGCAGGCGATGAAGTACCTTATAGTCAGAACTGTCCTGATTCAGATTGTGGTCCTGCTGTGGTCTTGTGTTCTGAGCCCCATGCCAGTCCTCCAGCAGTGGAAGGATGCTGAGGGAGTTGTCCTGAGTGATGGGCATCCTGGCATCCTGGACCTACTGGGGGTCCCTCACCAACAGGTACTCTGATGATTCCAACAGTTAGTTGGGCTGGGGTAATACTGGCAGGAAATGTGTGCAGCATCAGGCCATTACCCTAATGACAGCACAATAACAGATCACATTGTAGGAGTTGATAAAAAGATACAGAAATAAAAGAGAGATGCTCTCAATTGTTATTTTTGTTGCCTTGCCAGTCCCTCCTCTTTTTTAGTTAATAATTGAGCTTGACAGCTGCAATGTGAAAAAAAAATCTAAACCATTTAAGTTATACCAGGGGACTTGTATTTTGTACTTTTGCAATAGCCAACAGATATCAGGTGTGTGGACTAGGGACCCTTGCTGCTTTTTATCTCTTTTGAAATATTTAAGTTCATTTTCTGCATATAAATTTAACCTACATAAAAGTGAACCTGGGAGCCACAGTTTACTAATACATCATTTAAGGTTGAGGTTGAAATAATTCATATACTTTCGGGTTCCACTCACAATTTTTAAATAACTTTTTAACTGAATTTTAACAAGCTATTGGTTAGAGACTTAACTATATAGTCCATTTTTATGAGCAATTGTCTAAACATTTGGGCACGGCCATGCAGAGACCTTTGGAAGGGCAGGTGCTCAAAGTATTAAAGGGGCACATGGAACAAGGATTTAAATAGTGCTGTTATCAAAATATCGATACAGAAATATATTGTTATGTATTCCTTGATTATATGCATATACAGATGCTTCTGTATCGATACATCAACAAATGCTGTGACACAGTTTTGAAAAAGAAAACAGGGAAAACCCAGATCTAGCTTTTAAAACACAGTGGGCTGACATAACTTGACATACAGACAATATTGTGATGATTTTCTATATTGCATTGTAAATCTGAGATATATTTAGATTTTGATTGACTATATATCTAATCATAAATCTAAAAAGATGTCAGGAACATTATTTATTTTATATTGACACTGACATTATTACATGTATTTCCAGTTATTTAGTTCATATAAAAGGTTTGTTATTAAATCTATTCAAATACTGTTCTGATTTAAATGGTTGTTTTAAAAAGGGCTGATAAGTAGGCTATAATTCGCACACTACGTTTTTTATTAAGTTACTGTAATAATCCTAGTTCAAGTGAAAGGTTTTTAGTCAAATTACATAAGAAATACAATACCTCGCGACGCCCGTGAAACTTTTCTCCCTTAAACAGCAAGAACGAAGTCAACAGAACACCTTTGTTTATCTGAGTGCAGAAGCAACGTTAGCTGTCGGCACAGTGTTAGTCGGTGGCTAACGTTACTTCTACAGGCGACACACAGAAATATACAACTACTGTGCTCCTCTCTGTGTTTTTCTTGTAAAATACATCCAACAACCCACAACAAGCACATTGCGGCAAACCCCTCTTACCGGCGGAACCTGTAGTCAGAGCTGCTGAATCACTAACTGTGTGAACGGGAGGGCTCGTCACGGATCAGGTGAAAGGTCATAATGTGGGTCATTTTATTTTCTGTGAAATTATTATTAATTCATTTTACTAATAGTTTGATTCGGCAGGCCTTCACAAAAACTCTACAAATTAAAAAAATAATTAATTAATTAAATTTGTCATTGACAAAAGGGCACATTGGGCATCAAAGGGCAAAAGTGCTCAAGCACCAATTGCACCCCCCTCTGCATGCATTTGGGCTCAAGTCAGGAAGAAGTAGGGTTATTTAGTCTTTGGCAGGGGTTTCTTTGGTTACTTTACGACAGTCTGGTCCTAGTTGGATAAAACATAACCCAGCGGATTTGCCATGTGTAGTTGTGGCTTGACAGCGCAAAGTCACTCCATTGAGAGACTGCAGTCTTTCTTGACACCAAGATTGCAGGGATTGCAACTGGACTGGCATCACCACATGCTCTACTCTCTCGCCACCGTGGAGCACAGTGAGTCCCAAAGATAACAAACAGGAAGCAGGCGAGGAAATAACCTGACTGCACCACAGAACAATACCTGTGTACTGTGCATTTTTAGCTTTTAGATCTGGTCTGTTTTGTAGTAACATGTTTGGGTGAAACTACCCACATGGCAAAATCATAGTATATAGTATATGTTAATAATGACACACAGGCAGAAGCAGGATTTTTTGTTACATAAAAAAAATTCTGTGCTGCTCACTACAATTCACTAGCCTTTAATGAGAAACAGATAAATACACAACACACACCTGTTTTAAAACACACTTAAGGCATTCTTAGGCAGAGCAAGGAAAGGAGTTTTTGAAAACCCTGTTTAGTTGTGTATATTGTTCAAAACAATGACCAGTTTCACCCCACAGGGTTATGAAATAGCAAAAAATATCATTATATTAAAGTCATGAAAAGAAAAAAGAAATGCTGACCATATAAATCATATCATTCAGGATGATGCTATAAGATCAATAAGTTCAGTAAAGAAAGTTGTTTTAATCCAAGAAGAATTTATAATGTAATTTTATAATGTAATATAATTTCCTTATTCAACCACAGATATACTAATGCATCAGATCTGAAAATCTGATTTGACAAATTTCACACCAGCCTATTCGAACCGTACCACCTGGGCAAACGCTAAGAGTTCATATGAAACTAACTTAACTGGTTATGCATCATTCAAAACTCATGGTTGGATAAAAAAACTACTGAAATACTTGATTTTGTAGAATGAATCACGTAATCCCAATTATGTTTAACCATTCTGAATGTCAGTTCCAGGATCCAAGGATGCAACTTTTACAGTGTTAAAAGCAACAACTTGGATGCTCATGGCAAAAATGTCTCTACGGTAGAATGTCCCTGAACACCTCTTGTTCAATTCAATTCAATTTTATTTATATAGCGCCAAATCACAACAACTGTTATCTCACAGCGCTTTTCATAAAAGAGCAGGTCTAGACCGTACTCTGTGATGATATTTACAGAAGCCCAACAGTTCCCACCAAGAGCAAGCACTAGGCGACAGAGGCAAGGAAAAACTTCCTTTTAAGAGGCAGAAACCTCGAGCAGAACCATGGCTCAGGGTGGGCGGCCATCTGCCTCGACCGGTTGGGGTGAGAGAGAGAGAGAGAGAGAGAGAGAGAGGTAAGGAGCGAGAGAGGGGAGGGAGGCAGCCTACACACAGAGGTACAGACAGTGAAGGTAATGTTGCTATAAACTAAATGAATGTTGTGTACTTATTTATAGAAGTGCAAGACATCCTAAAATACACCAAACCTGCATGAACTATTAAAATCTATTTATAAACTTTTAACTATTAACTTCTATAACTTCTAAAGTTATGCTTTGTAAATGGCTGATGAATGTTAAGTTTGTTGGTCTGAAACATGCTAAGCCAGCAGAGGTCTTCAGGGGCCCCTTACACAGTGAATGTGAAGTAAGGAATCTGGGTAGACCCTTCATCTACACTCTTAACTACAGACAGCGAGTTGAGTAAAGCCACATCTCGGCAGATATAGACTAAAACGCAGGCTACCATGAGACCACACTTTAATGACTATACAGAGCTTTGACTTCAAATAAACTGTTGGGCATTGTGGTACCATCTGTCTCTACAACTCCTTTCCTCTCCAACTGAAGGCAAACAGGGTCTGCCCTGTTCTGGCCTAAGCTGAACTATGGTCTAGATTAGCAGGGGTACATTTACAAGGCTCTCAGGAAGAAACTTTCAAAATGTGATATCAGGGGGTAAAGAAGACAGATACAGTCCCATCATGGATGATTAATGGGAGGAAGTCCAAGAGATCTCTAAGAGCTTTTCTGGGTTTAGCTAAATATGCCAGCAGGCGGGAACTAGGCAAGCATTATGACACGTGTTACCATGTGATAGTAGTACAAACTAGCTATTTTCAGGCAGTTCAGGAACAGCGTTTTCTGTTGATGGTAACTCCCTTTGGGCTGGACTTTGGGCTTTTTCACTTTGCAAACCTATTACATGCACAAAAAAAAATATTATTATATTCTATATATGTATATAACACAATAAAGGAAAAGGAAAAAGCCAAAAAGCATAAAATTACCTCTTTAAATGATTTTATTTTGGTGCTATTTTACTTTATTTGACAGCTGAAATTAAACAGATGATAATAAAGGGGAAATGAGGGGCTGAATGAGCTGAGGAAATCTTGTGGTACACACGTACATGAAGCTTTTATTAAGAACAAAGAACGAGCTAGAACAGCTAAGTGTCTGCCCCTGTGTTTTCACTCCAGCAATAATAAATCTGCTGTTTGTGCTGTTTGTTACAGCTGCATTGGGGTAGCAATCCTGATGTGGGTGTGTTCAGAAGATTCAGCTGAGTATTCAACTTTGCGCATCACCACAGACAACTGGCAAACTATTCTCTTTCCCTTTATTTAGAGAACCTCTGGGGAGGGACACAGATTGAGCTGAAAAAAAACCTACAATAACTACAAAAGCCAGGAGCTATGTTAGCATTCAGTCGAAATTACTGTAAAAATTACTGTAAACAAAATAAGTTACTACTCTATAATGATATTATACAAAACGTAGAAGGTATAAATGAAACTAAGATATAAATACCCAAATCAATCTTAAATATCAACCAATATTTATCACCAAGTGAATATTGAAAGATAATAAAATGACTTTTGCATTATACCTAAAAACCTTTTGAACATGATCCTGAAAAGTTCCTTGCACCCCCCAAGCAGCAACATCAATATGTTATGGTACTGCCACCGACCTTAGACCCTTTGACATCTACATCAGTCTTTTTCAGCTGCTTGAACATGTTAATGCTGTCATTTTTCTCTGGAGGACAGTCTTGCTGTGAATAGATGATTCAAGCTTATTTCCTGTAGACAGCACAAAAACCATCTTGGGAGATTGCAAACACTTTACAACATGTATTTTTGTCTCCCATGTGTCCACCACAAACCATGCCAGGCTCCATAGAAATTAAACAGTTCATAGTGAAGTTCATTCAGTAGAGTCCTGGTTAAGACACAAGGGCTGAATTGAAGTGATGAAACCAAGCAATGCTATATGTACAAACATCTCTCCTATACATATGCAAAATACTCAGTAAAAAAGTTGGTGATAACCTGACAGCTTTTT